ATAATGGCCATAAAATTTACCACCTTTTACCACACAGTTTTGCATTTTGTGAACGTAACTGCTGTACCCTTGTTTCAGTATGGGCATCGTGGAGGTCAGTATTAAAGTTCGCTCTAATCCGTTCTACAACGGCACCGTAGCTCAGTTTTGGCTTTGAATTTTGAATGGATTTGGGAATTCTACGATTAACTCGAATCCATGACCGAATTGTAGGTAAAACACCACGTAAAAGGCCACATGCTTGAATAAGGATGCAGCATTTTCGTTTTACCGCTGTCAATAAGTGCATTCTCATTGACGCTTCTGATATCTTTATCCGCAGTGTTTATCAGAAATGCTGCAAATATGCCCATATGAGGGGATAAAGCTTATTTGGCTCTAGAAAAATTTCTATGGCGTTGTGTGCAGCAGTGTTAAAGTCAATGTCTCATCCATAAACAATTTCGCAGCACTTCGTACGGTTTCGTGAAGGCTTTGATGTATGACTGATAATCAGGTTCTAACTAGGTGGTCAGCATAAAGAAGTTGGAATTTTTGTGCCCATCATCGCTAAGCACATAGGAACGCTTTCTTCGTAATTTGCCCTTTGAAGTCAAGTTGTCCTCTTGTCTACTGGAAAATACCGTTTATGCTGCATCCTCTTGTGGCAGTTGGGCAGCGCTTGACTGAACGTGTCCAAGACACTCAACCGCTTGGATTCTTACCCCAAGCTTTACGTGCTCCAAAGCCTCTGAAAAAGTCATGCATTGTGTGCATTATAGACACATAAATTGCAAATTCGCATGTTTTCGTAAGCATCCATTCACTAATCAGTACAGGTCTATTCACTAATTTCAAACTCACTGCTAATCCGTGCACGAGTACCCACATCATTAAACCCAGTGAGGACTGTCGTTTTTCAGCACCACTGCGTTTATTTGATGCATCGCAGTTACAAAACACTGGCGTGTGTAAGGCGTGAGTGTCGCGTTATAATGCCACCGTCGTTCTCCGTTTATTTGGTTTTTCCAAATCATGTTTGTTGTCGTTAGAGCAAGCATCGTCCGAACATGTTAATACCATCCAGTCATCACAGACTCCGACCTCTGTCGGCAGCTGTCACAATGCCGTTAAGATGGTCAATATAATTCAGGCGCACCCACCACCAAGCTACAAATCATATTACGTGGTTGCGCTGAAACTGTATATCGGCCTATAAATAATCTGTTTTGCCTTTCTGAGCGATTTCCTCACTCTCATATTTGCTAAGATGAAGGTAGCTCCGGTGAATTATTTGGGTAATTTTATCTCAAGGCTAGTTGCTATCATGACGCTGATCTGTAAGCTAACGCACAAAGGATTAAAGCGGAGTTGGAGAATGGAACAGCAAAATCACTTTTGCAACTAATAAGCACCTTATCAACAACGCGCCTGTACTCGGATATTGCGATCCAACGCATTCTTAGGAGGTACAGTGGGACATCAGCCAGGGGGAAGTAGGTTTCGCTATCTTACAGAATAAAAATCTTTGCACTTCCGCAGTTGATTAAGCAGCGTGACCAAACAGCGCTATGCGCAGATTGTGAAAAGACGCTGAAGGTAGTATATGCCATTATTAATATACAACACAGAGAACGACATATGTGTATACTGACAATCAACCACTTGTGTCGATAACCAGTAAACCTCAGCATATCGTTCCCCTTCGTCTTGAACACACAATTATCTGGCTACAAAATTATGAGGTGAACATTGTGTATATATCTGGTGCACAGATTTTCATTGTGGATCCGCTATCAAAAGCTCAGCTGACGATAGCTGAGCAAAACCATTTAGGTGTCAAAAGAGTGAACTAGTACAGCATCTGGCGGAAAGGGATATCGTCCAAAAGAAATATGACACCATGTAGAACAAGTTGAAACCTTTACAGCTTTATTACACATTATGCTTAATTGCTAACGAGAGACAAGCAAAGATGTGCCGCAGAAACTAACATCCTACTTTAATTTTCAGGACGAACTCTCTATTTATTATCTGCTCTACAAAAGAAGCTGTATTCTGATTCGGTTACCGCTGCGAAAAGAAATGCTGAAATACGTCTGTCGCACTCACCTGAGTGCTACTTATATCATTAAACCAGCAACAGAGTTGATATTTTGCCAGGGAATGACAAGTCTAAGCGGGGATCATGTGTTGAATTGTGAGCACTACGTTCCCACGATATCCGTAGACGAGGGAACCAATGCAGCTGTACCATATCCTTGAGTAACCGTGACAACAGAAGGGGTAGAGGGTCCGCAACAATTGCAAAAATTACTTAGTCAATGTGGATCACTACAGTGAATAATTGAGATTGGCGGCAGTAGCCAAAAAGCTCAGCTGTCCATTCGCGCGGCACGAAATACTGGAAGTGGTGGTCTAAGACCATGAAACCCAGTTTACCAGCGCTGCTTTCCACGCCTTCGCAACAAAGTGGGAATTCGTGCAACAGCAAACGAGCGCGAAATACAGTAAATCAAATGGAAAGGTGGAGTTGGCAGTGCAGCAGGCCAGGCGTATGTTAGCAAACGCTAGAGCTACTCGCGAAGACCCGTATTTCATGCTATTGGTGAATCACAACACTTCTTATACGGATATCTGTTTGAGCCCATTGCGACGCCTATAAACCCAAAGGAGGCGAATGCTGATGCTGGCATTTACCAGACTTTTGCACCCAGTCTTGCCACAGCATGAGAAACAACAAAACAGACTGAGAAGAACAATGATACCCCAGAATCTGTACTCCGACCGTGTGTCACGGGAACTACCTGAGTTATTAGTGCCCAATGGTTAAGCGTGGTAGAAGAAAGGGGTAGTGACTGCTTAAGTAGCTACATGGTTATCCGAAATAAATGTTGCAGAGATTGTACTCAGAAGAAACCGAGTGCATTTGAGACGACACTAGAGACAAGAAGCACTGGAAATGGAGCGCCCTATGGCTCGTGGTTTGGAGTTCACGACTGGAGATACAGTAAATACGACGTGGAGTGGCCATGTGTGCATGGTGCATAGCAATATGAAGTCTCAAGACAGGACAGTAGTGTACCGGTTCAGCGAATGGATCAACCAAGCGTGCCAGCTCCCCAGTGGGAGAATGGCATAACGGATTCGCTTACTGGGGCGCATGGGCCGACATTCGTGCAAGTTACTCACCGTTTGTTTAACTGAGTCAAATTCAAAGGCATCGACTCAGAAGTATCGTTTGTACCAGTTACATGGAAAAGTTTGGGTTGCCATACACATGGTGGTGCACATAGATATAAATTTCTGCATGCTTTGAGCAAATGTGCTAGTACTTAGATAATATTTTGGCTGGGCACAATAAGCAAACAACCAATAACATTAAGCAAATATACGCATTGTAAAAGGAAATGGATTTGGTTAGTCTCCATAGTTAAACAATTCATGTTCACCACATATAGGCACAAGAACTTGCGTTTCCAATATATGTGTTTATTGCAGACATTAGAATGTAAAATTTAGGACTTTAATCAACAAAGAAGTGATGTCGTAACCATTTCCAGTTATGATTCTGTTTTCCAAGGCCTCTTTGGTTATTGTGATGGCATCTGCTTCATCCGACTCGAAATGCACGATAAAGACTCCTTTCACATATCCACTATACGGACCGGTTACAACACAAGTAAAGTTCGTGCAACCCGCTATTTTCTCAGTATTGGCCAACTTCCCGTACTTGTTGTTTCGAAACAGCCAATGTGGAAAGTACAATATTTTCATTAGTACGATAAAAACATTACCAAAAATTCATTAAGTTTTGAGGGATTCTGGTTTGTGTGTGGGACATTTTAAAGGAATAGCTAGTTTTCTCAAGTTTTATTTATCTTTTGTCTAGGAATACAATTTGCACTCAAATGAGTATACGCCTGGTCTACCAAAAGCGCTTGTTAACATCAAGGACATACATAGCTGCACATGCCGCGTTCTTTTTATGAATATGACCGCAAGGACACTTCCATCAACCTACTTTACTCTTTCAGTGATTTACTAAGGAACGCCATAGCTTTTAAATTGTCCGGGCAGGTGCACATATGGTCAATGGGGTCCATAACGTGTCATAGAGGGGCCTGTGTGTTCTCCGCGAGTTTAAGTTTGCTGGTTGGGCAAAATTTCAATTTCATTTGATGGTTGACACGTATTTTAGGCCAAACTGTAGCGATTACGCCAAAACAATAAACAATCGAAAACTAGCAAACAAATTGTGGCGAGCTACTTTGCGCATCAAGTGTGTATTATGACTGGTTTATTCTGATTTTTGAGTTAATGGTGCGTTATCTTGCGTGCAGTTGCAGTACCACGAGTAATCGATTTGGGCACCGTCTTCATTCCATAATCATGTGATCACATAGAATACAACAGCGAAACGTGTACATGAAAACACTCCAAAATGTTGCTTACTCTTGAGCAGGTTGTTTCTGCAATATGCATCAGCTCAGTTACAGTGCCATCAACACCAAACCGTTTGACCGTTAAATCATCTCCAAAGGATGGTACAGAAATCCGGATATCTGAATTAGGTTGACAATATCAGAAATTCGCAAGGTAGTAGCATAATAATAGCCAAATAAAAGGGTAGATGTTGTTTTCTAGTGTAACTTGTGCACGTATTCTGCCTTGGTCGAGACGTATGTGCTGGTATGTGCCTATGCTTTTCATTCAGTAACCATCCATGATATTACCACGCATACGACATAGGTGCAAACCGCTGATAGTTTGAGCCAGATGTTTTGTCGCCCATGGGAAATTCGCTCTAGTGCTGCAGGCGATTACGTGGCATACAATAGCTAGAGTAGTCAGCTGAGTTGGACTGCTCACTTCGGTGAGCAATGCGAGATGTGCTGCTTAGTATTGTCGCGTCAGTTCCCACGGACTAAAGCCTGTCTGATTGCGACTCCGATAGTACCCACTAATTCCAGAAGCAAGATTAAATGGGGAGTAGTCGATTGTTCGATAACCTGTGTAGTCTAGCTGTCATTGATTGCTATGGATCCCGGTATGGTAGAACAACTTACTTGCATACCCATCACCGACGGCGGTCTCTGTAAAAGAATAAAGCTGTCAGATTTCTCGCCAAAACATCATGCATTCAAGTAGGATATGGAGGTATGACTTCTTATTAGGCCAATATACATTAGGATAATCAGTGGATTCAATCTACTATAATTGGGTGTCTGATAACTGCGAAATACCTAGCACATTGATGAGTTCAAGCATTACTTATTGCAGTGCAATTGGTGTACGAAGGTTAGCTATAGTGTCAGAAAATGCAGGATTGTTGGGATATCATTTAAACGATTGGGACCTATTTACCGAAGTGTGGCTGCAGTTTAAAGCACATGCTTTTTGAGTCATTTCTCCGTTGTTCACATTCCGAAAACAATTCCATTACAAAATTGTGCAGTTCCGCAGATTCATTATTCTGTATCTTGACAAGGACGTGAGTTCGATTAGGAGGGGCAATTAATGAAGAAAATCCACATCCGACCGTATCGTATGGTACGCCTATCTTGGACGAAATTGAGATTCGGAGCTGAAATAGTGTGGCAAATAATGCTAATCAATGGGTTCACAGTGATCAGCCAGAACATCTTTTATCAGTCATATCTCAAACGTTCAGACATAATGTCATTATGTGGTGCAAAGTTAGAAATTAGTCTTAGTAATTTGGACAAGGCATGCTATTGCTATCCCATTTATAGTTTGATCTGATTACTATGCGCCTGTAAAAAAGAACTCAAAGCAATACTGCTTACCTTGATGCAAACATCTTCAAACTGTCCAGCTGTTGGATGGTCTTCCAGTTCCAGTTCACTTCTTATTGGTAATGGATTACCATCCTTCAGAAGTACTCCTGTTATCTCTATGCCTGTAAGGACAAGAGATAATGAAGTCAACATTGAAAAACAGACTATTTCGCAAGCCTATCTTGCAGACAGTATTTGGTTATTATAGCCAGAAGCGTGTGCACTGGCTGTGCTGCGTTTTTTACATATTTAGTTTGCTTTTGCCATAAACTTATGAAGCAAAGGACAACTTAGATACAACAGACCCGGTGGGGAATTTAACCTGGTATTAACGCCGGGTTTGTAGCGATCATTTAAATACGCGCAATCCACTAATGTGAACTCACAATGTAGCCGCATTTGTTGGCATGGCGCGAAGGTAATTGCTGTTGAACAAAAGAGGTAGCCCTCATGAGGAGTACATTATGAAATGATTGGGCGCACCAAGTTCTTCTGAGTTGCATTAAAACTGAATGTCTAACTAAGCTGCTTAGACCACTGTATCGATTTCGCTAAATCGGTGTATTCTGCATATTAGGGTCCCGAATGTGCGTGAATATCGACTAGAACAGCAATTGTTTCGGCGACAAGCATTTCGACAATGCGCTTGTTACGCATTTAAACGCCCTTTACTCGGGGCTATCAGACATAACACCTCACTGCAATATGCAGCATATTCTAACGGCACTTTTGAATTTTATAAAGAAATAACTACCTAGTCAAGCGGCTGAGTTAAGCTTGGGTGTAGCATCAAATTTTCCTCCGTATGGATTGCATGTGTGATATTTATTTTGATGTGCGCATGATCTCAGCAGATGAATCCGCCGTTTTATATTTTGTCTGCAAATGACATAGGTGTGATTCAACAACACTTACATACTTCTTTCCACCGAAGACTACCGAAATTACGTTGTTCTCGTGGGTTCGCGCAGAGCGTAAAAAGATTAGAAGTTCTGATTTATATAAGTGGTCTAGTACTTTTCGAATAGGATTGTATGATATTTCTAGCCCAAACGGCTCCGTGGTGGATTGTCATAACTTAATAATCAGAATCGGAGAGCAAACTGCAGGCTCAGAATTCGTCGTAAAACTTACCAAACAGTAGTAAGCACTTTGACGGAAACTTCATGGCGGTTAGGCGGTATTTCATTGGGGTTGTCGCGCGCATCCAATTTATATACTCACCACATGCGCTTTCTAGACCTTGAACAGTTCTGGCTGGAGGATATGTGTATCACACACACGAGAATTGGTTTGCTATCTGTGTACCAATTAGGTAGCCGACAGTACCTATCTGACACACCCGCATGTGGGGCGTCAATCTGATTGACGGCGAAGTAGCTGTGAAGTCCAGCGCTGCCTAACGGAATGTATGGCAGTCCGTATCCAATAAGTTGGCCCCAGGCGGTTTAACAACGTGGATCTTCCTGTAACAGTTACACACACATCTGCATGGAATAGCAATGGCGGGAGTTTGGTTTAGGCCTGTGCTCTGCAGAACACCCCGATTCATTTTAAGACACGGATGATTATTGTTTACCATATTTCTTGGTTAGCTATTTACAGACATACTTTGTTTCTGTTTTAGCTCAATTTTCATTTAAAAGACGGGATCCAAGTAAAATTGGTGTACGTGAAAACAATAATATCAGGTATATAATACTAACAATCAACAAGCTTTTCCTAGGTAGAAATATTTGAACAATTAACCAATGCAATGCTCTGTGATTTATTACGAGGCAAGAAACTATTGGGATATTGCCTTGCGGTGGATCACCATAACTAACAACTGCACCAGCACCTGCTTACCAAACCCTGTTCGTTTTTAGATTCACTGCTCCACACGAGTTTTCCCCAAACCAAGTTCTTACGCCTGTTTGGTACCTCCTGTTCGGATACGCATCCCCCAATTGGAAAATATACCCACTTAATTATGTTTATAGCTATCTACGTAGCTTGCCCCATGTTTCACACTTACCTGCCGTCCGTTCATGCCCGTATTTGCACACACCTACCTAGTGACAATACACCCCTTGAAGCCAAACGGGAACCTAAAGCATCGGGCCGTCTATGCGCGGTAGTGCGAACTCATTACTGCGTGTGGTTTTGTGACCTAATATAAGCGCCCGTGTGATTCCTCGTGTGGACCCTTGTTTTCGAGATAACTCCGTAGGCTACAAATGCAGTGACTTGCACTAATATCCCATACCCTGGAAAAAATCGCTTTTTAGTACTGAGCAGCATTATTACTGTATTTCCTTTTTGAATTTTGGCATCCAGTTGGATAATATGGTAGTGTACTGTTGCCTTTGTTTTGGTTTGGTCTGAGACATCCACCAATTGATCATTTCCCAATAACATCACCCTGTAATGCAACCGGTCAAAAACCAAATCCTTCTATCGAGCTGTTCAATAAAAGCAAGATAGCATTAGCGAGGTTAATATCGAAAGCACAGTGAGAAAATCAGATTGATTGACTCTTT